TTCCCCACAGCCCGAACACCCCAAGCCCTCACCTTTAAAAACCCACAGGGTGAGGCCATCAATCGGTTTAGGGTTTAGGGTTTAGGGTTTAGGGTTTAGGGTTTAGGGTTCACGGTTTAGGGTTTAGGGTTCACGGTTTAGAGTTTAGGGTTCAATGGTGTATTTTGGTAGATCTCTCACCTCTCGAAGTATTGTCAATCTTCTTGTCCTGGAATGCCAAGAAACTTTCAGAAAAACCGCATATGCCGCGTGGACTGGAGCCATAGTAACAATATTGCTTGAAAGGCCCCGTTGAATTCAGATTACGGCAGAAATGAAAACAACATCCTTAGGAGGGCCCAGCATGAACAATACTCCGAAGCCAAAATGCCCTACATCCATACGTAAATCCCTCTCAAACCTATATAAACAGTTTAGGGTTTAGGGTTTAGGGTCCTAAATGCAAAACCCTATATAAAACCTAAAGGGACCTTTCAAGGAACCCTTGAAGCGACCCGACAGCCCTGACGTCCAAGAGTGCCGGCGATGCTCCAGGAAGGAGTCTGCCACGCTATTGCAGGAGCTACAATCCTGACAGGAGTTTGATTAGAATCGATAGGTTGCATAGCGTACGTTTGGGATTTACGGTATAAGGCCCTACGCACCTCTACAGAATATACAATCGGGAGAGGAGAGTTCCATGATGGTTCCATACAGGTCCTATACGGGCCTATTTGGGGTTCTGGCTACCGTCCTGAAAAGAGGAAATTTGTGATATGGCTTCTGGAGTTTTTGGTGCACAAGAAGGTCCAGCCCCGCAATCCTGAGAGGAAACTTTGGGCTTCGCGTCTGTAGGATTCAGGGTTTATGGCTGACATATCTTCGGATTGTTGGGGTGTCGGGTGCTGGCCGATGTGCGTTGACCCGGCCATGTCGGGCAAAAAAACTGCTGTCGACTGGGAGTAGCCTGACCGTAGTTGCCGAGTTCATAATCCACAAATGCCTAACCTGTCAGTTTCAAGGGTGTTGTGTTTGAACAGAACGGAAGTTTAGTGAAGGGCAACCGAGAGAAAGGAGACACCAGCAAAAACCTCTTGCATTAAAGTAAAGGCAGCCGACAATCAGAAGTCTTGAACCCCCAACACAATTTCTGGAGAAGGCACCTTGCGTCATTGCCCGATGCACCCATCCTCTCCCTCCTCATGCAGTTTTCCCTCAGCATGATTTCAGTGGATACGGGTACCTATCCGAACTTTAGATGTAAACCTGTCTGTTTGCATTCATTACACGCACATGTGTGTGCTATATAAATATACACATACATATATGTATGTCTCGATTTGCTTAAATAAACATATCTATACAGAGGAAGAGAGACATGCACACATACATGCATGCGTGCATGCATGTGAATCATTTGTGCTATGAAACTACCAAGCCACCAACTGACACCCTGCTCTGCGGAAGCGCCGAATCCTAAGCCTGAACAACTCCAGAGTCTGCCGAAATCATAAACCCTTGAGGTAGGGGCCTTAATAATCGGAATAGGGTTTTGGGGTTCCTTTTAAGGGAGGCATACTATAAGGGCTCAGGGTGTAGGGGCCTTTCAATAGTTAGAATAGGGTTTGGGGGGGTCCCTTGTCGTATAATTTGTAATAAGGAGCCCTGAGGCATAGTCTTGTTAATTGTTTAGGCCCCTATGGAAACTAAACCCTAGACCCTGCAACCCTATAATTATAAACCCTGAACTCCACAACACGACACTTGAGCCGCAAAGGGTTTCAATAGGGTTTCTGTCAAGGGGTTCATATATCAGGACTACAGACGGGTACTTTCGGGACTTCTACTGGTTTATGGCTTAAGGTCTTATAGGGTTTGGGGGGAAAGGTTTAAGGCTTCAGGGCTCAATCTTGTGGGTGTTGGGGTCTTCGGGGACGCTGTACACACCAAGCACCCTGGACCCCAAACACTAAAACCCTAGACCCTCGACGCCAAACCTCTGAACCCCCGCTCCCCCTCCCCTCCCAAATCTCCGAAAGCCGCAAAGCCCTAAACCTTAAACCCCGAAACCCCATAAACCCTAAACCTCTACGCCCTAAACAAACCATCCAAAAACCGTGAGACCTTAAACTCAACCCCCCAGACCCACTGCTGGGATTGCCACCATCTCCTCCAGACCAGACCTCCGCCAGACGGGAGGGGCTAGCCCGGAGTAGTATAGGAAGAAAGGGTTAGGGTTTAGCTGATATTCTCGGGGCCTGTATAGGTGGAGTAGGGTCTTTTTTTTTGCATAAAAGCCATAAGGATCCCGCCCGCACGCCCGGTGCGAGTAAACTTGGAATTAAAGGGCTTTGGTGGTTTAGGGATTAGGGCTTAGAGTCTAGAGGCTTCGGGTTAGCATTGAGGGTCGATTGGAATCTTGTATGAGCTGTTATGCTCCTTCTGTTGTAGTAACGGTAGTGGTGAAAGCAAAAACAATAGCAAATAGCAATAGTAATAGTATTGGGTACCCCTATATTTCAGGCCGGAGAAACGCACTGCTTTCAAACACATAGGGAAAGACACATTAAAAAGGCCCAAGACGCATTTCAGGGTCCCGACAAGGTTGGGCAAACTTTGCATGATAGGGGGCCCCCACACACAAATCAGTACCTGACATTACTGTACCGTGAGTGTACAGGGGGTCTTTTCCCTACGAGGCTGTAACCTGCTTGTAGTTCGCTGGATTGTGTGGAAAAGTGAAAGAATAATACCCTAAACCCTAAACCCCTAAACCATTCCCTAAACCCTAAACTCTAAACCCTAATTCCCTTAACCCTGAACTCCTATAAACCCTATATAGTCCTTCTTTGAACGTTGTGGTCATGTCCCTGAGGTTTGGGGTTCAAGGCATGGCGCCGAGACTGCCGGAACTCCCGGGCCAGAGCTCGTAGTCGCTCGTAAGCCTCCCTGATCCCTAAAACCCTAAAACCTAAACCCTAAACCCTAAAACCTAAAACCCTAAATACCTAAACCCTAAACCCTAAACCCTGAAACCCTAAACTCTAAACCCTAAACCCTAAACCCTAAAACCTAAACCGCTAAACCCTAAACCCTAAAACCCTAAACCCCTAAACCCTAAACCCTTCTGA